TGGAACCCTTCTGAAGAAAATTGGTCTTTCAAAATATAATACAAATGAGTGGCATTTTTCCATTGACAGTATGAAATGTGTTCTTTTAAATAATGGTAACAAAGATGGTTCTATCCCAATTGGTCACCCCATCAGGATGAAAGGAATACAAGCCCATCTCCTTAGTCTTGGAAAAAAGTAATTACCCAGAACATCAATGGGTAGTTTGTGTAGACTTAAAGACGGTAAATTACGTTCTTGATCAACAAAGTGGCTACAAATTATTTTTAACATTGTGGCGAAGTAAAACCTTAATATGGTTCTTCTATCCATGTCTCCACAACTTCCACTAAACGGCTGGTAAGTCTGAAACAATGTGTGAACCACAAATAAAGGGGATCGGTCAGTCTTGCCACACCCCTGGCTGTACAATGAGGCACCAGCCTGTGTGACCACGAGGTGCCAAAGGGATCAGTTATCAGGCATCGAAGAACAAAAAAAAATCCTATCATTGTGTGCACACTTCCATGATACGATTGCTGAAGACAAACGGGTGCATAAGCAAATGTGGCGAAGACAGTTGATGGTGCCCGGCTATTAAAAGATATAGCATCTGGGGTCTTAAAGGCTTGAAGACAAACAAGCGGCCATCTAGCTGAGAAGCATCAAAGCCCACATGGAAGAAGCACACCAGCCTGTCTGACCACAAGGTGTAATCGTATCAGTGGGTGCCCACTTTACTGACACAACCACTGAAGACAGACGTGTACACAGTAATAAAGTAAGGGCTCTCTCCTGCTCCAGCTCAGAGCAGCCAATGCACAGAGAGGCCCATATGGCTGGCCCCACTAACAGACAAGACATCCCTCACTGACCCATAGTCCTACAGGGGACAACACTGGAGACAGTGTGTGAATTATGCCTGATCTGATCTCACCACACCGAGGAAATACACTAAGGGTGTGCAACAGAACAGCAAGAGGAGCAGAGCAAGGAAGTCCTGAGGAAATACCAAAAAGAATGTTTTAAAACGGATGTAATGGTGTGTGTGTGGCGGGGGCGGGGGGAGGTGGTTGAGGGTCCTGGAAAAAATAATTTTAAAAAAACAACAACAACAAAAACCCGGATGCAATAAATGTACAATACTACTTGATGTGACTGAACTATGGAATGATATCTGTATTAACTCCCAATAAATTTTTTTAAAAAGGAAAAAAAGATAGTCACTAGACAGTATCCAATGAGATTTTTTTCGTGATTAGTTTTTTTTTAATTTCAAATCAAACGACTGGATTTATTTAAAATAACACACTTTTAAGCACATCTGAACAATCAGTGATAGCTGCTATAAGAACTCTTAGTAATACATTTGTCTTTGTCTCTTTGGTACCTAATCAAAACAGTGATCTGAGGAGATTTGCTAGGCCATTTCAAACTAAGGCCTATAGATCAAAGAGCAAAAAATCATATCATTGTAAATGAGGGGGAGTGCAGAGTGGAGACCCAAAGCCCATCTGTAGGCAACTGGACACCCCCTTACAGAAGGGTTGCAGGGAGATGAGCCAGTCAGGGTGCAGGGTAGCAACAATGAAACATCTAGCTTTCCTCTAGTTCTTAAATACTTCTTCCCCCGACTATCATGAGCCCAATTCTACCTTACAAATAAAGCTAGACTAGAGCATGTATACTGGTACAGATAGGAACTGGAAACACAGGGAATCCAGGGCAGATGATCCCTTCAGGACCAGTGGTATGGGTGGGGATGCGGGGAGGGTAGAGGGAGTGGTTTGGAAAGGTGGAACCGAATACGAGGAGCTACACATAACCTCCTCCCTGGGGGATGGACAAAAGAAAAGTGGGTGAAGGGAGACGTCCGACAAGGTAAGATTATGACAAAATAATAATAATTAATGAATTATGAAGAGTTCATGAGGGAGAGGGAAGGGGGAACGGAGGAGAGAAAATGAGGAGCTGTTATTAAGGGCTCAAGCAGAAAGCAAATGTGTTGAGTATGATGATGGCAACAAATGTACAAATGTGCTTGACACAATGGATGGATGTATGGATTGTGATAAGAATTGTACACGCCCCCAATAAAATGATTATTAAAAAAAAGTTTGTGGCAACTGTTTTGCAGTATCCAGTGGAACAATCTTTATAGATTTTCTCAAAGGACTGGACTCTCATTGGCCTTTCTTTTCTCTTAATCATTTTATTGGGGACTCATACATCTCTTATCACAATCCATGCATACATCAATTGTGTAAAGCACATTCGTACATTCACTGCCCTCATCATTCTCAAAACATTTGCTCTCCACTTAAGCCCGACATCAGCTCATTTTTCCCCCTCCCTCATGAACCCTTGACAATTTATAAATTATTATTTTGTCATATCTTACACTGTCACACGTCTCCCTTCACCCACTTTTCTGTTTTCCGTCCCCCAGGGAGGAGGTTATATGTAGATCCCTGTAATCGATTCCCCACTTCCAACCCACCCTACAGCCTCCCTGTATCGCCACTCTCACCGATTACTAAGTTTCTTAAGAAAAAATTACACTTCAATCTAATGAATTGGAAATATGTTTAATATAAAATATTGATATTCTCAAAGCACTATTTCCACATGAATTTTGGAAAATGAACTTTAAACAATCTTCAAAACATGATCAAGGACAGTGGTATCTTCAAAGACATAAACAAAACAGAGAAGAAATCACAAAATGTCATATACACTTGTACCCAAAGTCAGATGTGAGGCATAATTTAGAGTCACCTAAAAAGGTACCCCCACATAACACATAAATTAGGAATGAATGATGAACGAATAACCATGTTTCTATGAAAACTCCAGAAGACAAATACTTCTAACAATATAAAGATGGTGATGAGATTAATAAAAGTTTAGGACACTGAGCTTTAACCACCTCCATTCACATGATTTAGAAATAAAATGTTCACTGTTTATAGCCTTATCTTAAATTGTCTTTGTTTTACTGCTTTATATACTTAGAATTTAAATTCAAGAGATGCTTAAAAACAGAAGATTAAAATAATATTTTTAAAGAACATCTTTCTTATAGAGAAAATATTATATAAAATCAGATATCCTGATCATTGATCATGATCAAATATTCCTGATAACATGAAAGTAAATCAGAAAGCTCTCAAGTGTTTAATCAGATGTATTTCCACCATCATTACATGAATTCATTAAAGCAATTACCTGAAAAACTTAAGCTCTATGTGGACCATAGGTCTCTAAAAACGACAATTTTGAAATATGAGAAGTGAGAATAATCTTGTTTTGCCGATGAACACTGGGTACAATAGCTATAAAATTATATACTTAGTTCTAATCATTAATAAATAAGACTTTGGGAAATTTGGGGGGGTGGTTAGTTATGAGGACACCAAGTGTATCTTCTTTACGTATAGAAACTATATATATATATATATATGTATTTTATATTTTTTTTTTGGAATAACACAGGAGTGAATATTTACATTGAGTTGACCAGCTATGTATGTAATTTTAAAAACCTATTGTGGACAGCTACACTTTTTTCCTTTCTTTTTTGACTTTGTTTCTTTAATTTCAGAAAGAAACCCATTTTTAAAACTCCAGTTTTTTAGTCTATTCCAAACTTCACCATCAGTGAAGGAGGAAATACCCTCATTGCCACATGATGCTGAGAGAAACTGGGGAGTGGGGAGAGGAACACTGGGCAGCTCAGGAACATGATCAGCTGCATTGTCAAAGAAGGGTTTTTCCATCTCCCTAACCTGAATGTCCTCTTTTACACTATACAGAAGGTATGCCGTAAATGGCATTTCTGAAGCCTTGATAGTAAATTCTTTTAAAAAATACACAGTATTCGTACTGCATGCTTGAGCTGCAAAGAACAGAATTACAATATCAGGACTTGTCAACAAATGTGACAAGCACTGGGGCTGACACCAGGAAGACCCTAACTCCCTTCAACTCCCAGTCATGTAAAAGTACAGATCACACGGTTTAATTATGTACAAAACCATTGCCACATTACATGCTATTGCATAATCCAAGCATCTTCACTCAAAAAAAAAAAAAAGAAAGAAAAGAAAGTTACGGAATTTTAACTTCTATTTAGCAAGTTCCTCTGCCACCCTAGTACCCTCCCCATCTATGAGATAGCAACAATCCTAATAATAAAGTGTATGTATTTTAAATCACATCCAATGACTCATAAAACTACAGGTTATTGTTCTTGTGACTTGGCTAATGCAAATGCTGGTAAGTGGCTGTTCAGTAATCCTCTGGAACATCTCTTTGCGGAGATTAACTAGCTACTGCTGCCCTTCTGTTGCTGTAAATGGAGTCTCAAAATGAGCTCTCGAATATCTTCCCGTTTGGTCTTGATCACATGACGTGGAAACCACTTCTCCAAATGAATTGGAAGTTCAAAATTAACAATAGGGTCCTAAGGAGAGAAAAGAAACATTGCAATCATTTCAGCAGCATAATTTTTTATCTTGTTTCAAATTCCTTTCTATAAGAAACCTGAATAAGGGTGCTTTACACAATTGATGCATGTATGGATTGTGATAAGAGTTGTACGAGCCCCAATAAAATGATTTTTAAAAAAAGAAACCTGTAACTGTTAAGTTAAATATATATACATTTATTTAAATATATGCACCTATTCAAAATATACAATTCACCACAATCAATTTTAAACAATTTGAATTAAATTTCTAACTTCTGAATATCAAAATGAAGTATCACATGTTTTGCTATGATGAATGTTTAAGTAAATTTGCTCACACAGTCCTGGTAAATGGGAGTATAATGCAGAAGAATCAGGCTGCTTGAAAATTTTTGCAACAATTATTTTGAAACTATTAAGACAATTAAAGAAAAGTTTTATAAATATATGAAGAACATCAGATAAAAATAGAAAATCCTGCATAAGTACCTTGCTCTAGTGCATGAAATGTAGAGTTTTCAAGAACCACTACATTTTCCATTATATTAAACTAGGAGATCTACAAGTATACATCAAGAGTTTGCAAAGATATTTCCCTCTGTAATTAAAAATTAAATAAAGGGTTAAAGAAAGCTGTCCGTGGGTCATGGTTACAATTTTGATGAAGCTATTGGAAAAGAGATGTTAGAAGGGCTTATATCTTGAATGAAGAAAGAGTCACTGGGTAAAAGAATGAACTATGATTCTATAAACAAATGCCACTGTAAATTTAACCATATTAGTATTTTTATTAGAACTATTATTGTTTGGGTAAGTTTTTATGCAAAGTTCCATAAGCTTTAGTGGTTTGCGCCATCCTAAGCTGTTACACTGATGTACAAAATTGCAAAATGCGAGGGTTGGTTCTCCCACCCCGCAGAAATTTTATATGGTGCTACAACCTCTATTAGAAGTATATTCTATAGGATGAGTTTATATAAAGTAAGATTATGTAACAGACCCAAAAGATGTTAGACAATATGGAACTTGAGCCTTCTAGAAACAAAATCTAGTATCTTTGGAGATAATATTTGGGAACTGGAATTGTCACCCTGACACAAAGGAGGGGAAATCTGACACGTAACTGTACCATATGTGTATCATCTTCTAATATATAGTATCATTCCTCCTCAATATTAAGAATGCCCAAACCTCTATCTGTATACTGTTAACTTACCCTCACTTTCCTTCTAAGTCCCTTTAAGCCCTTTCCAAGCAGACTCTTGGTCAAAAATACCCTGGTTCCTATTTTCAAATTCAGAAATCACAGTGCAATGACACAGCAATGAGCTGACAGTTCAGTGAGTCAAGTGTGATCCCATGCCATCTTACATTTCTCAATATCCTATATCCCCCTACAGAAGCTGCAGGGAACTGAATACACCACCTCTGGCTGTCAGCAGTTTATCCAGCTTCTGGTTAGCTAGGCTTCTTAAATATTATTTAAACACGAGGCCTGCCCCATTCTCTCTGCCTGCATTCCTTCAGGAAATCCAATTTCATGTAAATCAGATGTGTTAACAGCATCACCCTTGTCTCATGCTTTGTTCTCTTCAGTTTTTTCCCCTCTCTCTGACCTACAATTTGCTATCCTCCTCTGGGCAAGTGCACTAATCCTATCTTCTGCTGTATCTAGTCTGCTATTAAATCCACTCAGTAAGTTTTTAATTTCAGATATATCATTATACATATTCAGCTCTAGAATAGCCACTACCATTTATTTTGTTAAGTGAATCTGAATTCCATCTCTTCACCCACATTGTTTATCTTTGGTTCTATTTTTTTTCATATATATTAATCCAATCATTTAAAAATTCTGATTTGAAAGCTCTGATATTTAGATCATCCGTGGCTCTACTTCTTCCATTTCTCTTTTCATTTTTCATGATGACAAGTAACACTGTTTTCTCAGCTTGCCAAATAATTTGAATATGGGGACAACTGTGAGTAAACAATGTCTTTCTGTATAGCTCCACATACCTTGAAGAAGCTTTCCACATACTGCAGTAAATATACTCCACAATCACTACTATTATCTTGCTTGGGAACTTTAGGGCATAAGTCCACCATGTTGGTTTTGCTAAATTCACGATGAGTTTTTCGTTTCACTTCCCACTCTACCTCTAAATACCTGAAATCATCAGTAAAGTAAAGTGACTCAAGGAGATCTCTCTATCATTTGCAACAGTTTCACAAAGGTGTAAAAACATTGGTTGTCAAATACATTATCTCAGACAAATATCCAAAGGCTATTACATACCTTAACAATATAAATAAATTATGTTAAGTGATCTTTCAAAGGCATTTTTTAAAAGAAAATTGGATTTTCATGAGAACTAGACTTTTTTCAACAACTCAATTTAACTTAAATACTTAAATACTTAAAGTCATTTATATTACAAAGTAAACCGAAAATCAATTTTAAGACTTTCACTGCTAAGACTGTTGTTACAGGTCACAGTAAAATACAAAATTATCCATAGAACCACACAAAGGTACAATGATAAAATTCTAAAAAGGGCCTTATTTTTTTTCTAAAGTGGTATGAAAATGCATGTAAACAGCTTTTCAGGATAGATTACTTGTTTGTTTAAATCATTCCATCTCCCTCTAAATGCAAGGTGTAGGATCATTTTGCTGGTAGGAGGGCCGTGGTCAAAGGCTAGCAGTGGCCTGTGTTGTAAAGAAAGTGACTCAAAAGAGTCTTCACCTTTGCTCCAGGGCAGAAACATCTAAACCAGGGTGGGAAACTCAGCGCTTAGGCCACATACGGCCCACAAAATCATCCATACCAGCTAAAGCCCCATGCATCACCAAAGAGAAGCCTTCCAGCCATCATGTTAGGGGTGAGTTACTGAAATGGTTGACTACGTCGTGCACAAATGATGTTATACACATCCAAATAGCCCTTGGCAGAAAGAAGGTACCCACCACTATTCTAAATCACAGACATGCCAAGCCTTCTAGGAGTCTTTGTTTGCCTGGAGGCCCTGAGCAGTCAAACAGGAACAATGCGATTTCCAGTGGGGACCTTGGGCCACCCAGATAGTAGCAATGGAAGCACTGAGTCACAACAACATGAAGTAAAGGGGGGGAGTGGCGACACAATATTAGCTCCATCTTCTGGAAACTGATAGCAGACCTGTGAACAGTTAACCGTGGTTACATTGTATGCTATCAAATAAACTTGTGAACTCCAAGGTTCAGGAGTTTCCTAAACTGGCAATGATTCATGTATATTGGCACAAATCAATAACATTAATAGTGTTCTAATTCTACAAGAAGAGGGCAAGTGGAGCTCTAGTTGTTACTTTCCTGGACTCTGTTGTACACAATTCTTCTCTTAGCTGATTTCCTTGACTGGATCGTTTAGGTGTAATAAGCCATAACCATTAGCTATAATGCGTCCATTCGTATAATAGCTTTCATCAAACTGTATGAGTCCATCTAGTGAACTATCAAAACTAAAGGTGGTCTTGAGAACCCTCCGAACTTGCAATTGGTACCAGAAGTAGGGCAGACCTTACAAAAGACGTCAGTCAGCGAGACGGCGGGCTGGGCCGACACACTACACTGGACATCGACAACAAAACATGGGAGCAAACGAAACAGAGGAAGCTAAGCCTGGACCATGACTTTCGGGGGGAAATGATAAATTGAACAAGAAGTAGTGAGAAAGGAGGTTGCTGGCTTGATGTACGGCCATCTTGAACTCTAACAAGGTAGTATTTGATTAAGACAGCAGCCTGACAACACAAAAGTCAACCCTTAGCTAATGAATACAAAGATGGGACCCTCTGCTCCCCGGGAAGTCCTGGTGAGTAGAAGCATAGGCAGTCCCCACCCTGACCCACCTAGTGGCTGATTAGCACCATGCTCTGCACAGCCTCTGCTCTGCCCCAGGTCGGAACCTTTCCCTCATGAAGCAGGATCCGGGTGCACCTCCCACACATACGAAGGCGCCAGAACTCAGCCACATCGGACAGCACAACACAAGCTCCAGCTCCCGGGCAATCCTGGGAGACAAGGACTCTTTCCACAACCACTGCCTCTGCCCCCAGCTACCCTAAAAGCCCCCAAAAAGGCACCCTGACCTTAGTCACCCTCTGAGCAGACACAAACTACTTCCAGATCAGGGGGCCTTGTCACAGACCAGACAGCACCGAGGCCGGGAGGCACTCACCCAGGACCAGGCATTCCACCCACCATGCCCCCACCCGCCCTGTGCGAGCCTTGGATAACAAAAAGTGCTGACCGAAAGCAGGGACCCTGGGCAATGCAGTTTTCTCCGCTCTGAGTTCCTGCTCCAAGCCCCCGTTTTCTTTCTTTTTTCCCTTTTCTTTCTCTGCTTTCTTTTTTTTCAATCTTATTGCTCTTTTCCCCCCTTTTCATCTTTTTCCTTTTCCCTCAGTTTTTCCCTTAATATTCTCTTTTCTCAGAAGTGTCACTCGGGAGGAACCCTGTATGACCAATAAACATGAGAACATGCTCCGGGTCAGAGAGATGCAAATTAAAGCAACCAAGAGATACCATCT